AACGGCTCGTCACCCCACAGAAGAGAGGGGCGGGGTCAGCAGAGCTCATTAGCATTTAAAGCAACATGGAGTAGAACAAAGTGCTGAAAACAGCTCATTTTGACAAGGTAAAAAGGGTGTTTTTTACACTACCATTGAGAAATTTTAACCAAAGTATGTTATAGACTTTTCTTTAAGACCCTAAAGAATCATATCAACTTATATCAAATGGGCATCCGATGACCCCTTTAAGATGTTTATGATTTAGAATGTATGTAAAACTGACATCTTAAAGACGTCTATCAGATGTTTGTACACAGCAGAAGCTTTAAGCGATCTTTAACAGATATCTTGCAGACGTAGCCTGGGGAGGTTATTAGAAAGCGCCTCAAGTTTGCTGAGATTTCAAGACTAACAAAAGCCTGCAATCGGTCTTCTCATGCATATTAATGAGATGAATGAATGAGATGTGTGATGCCTTTGAGAATACACTCTTACTTTGAAGCCTCTCCCATGCCCTATAAGATGCTCATGAGTGTGAAACTGCGATTCAACATAAGGATCCGATTGTTCGGATCAATTTTAATATGCAGCATGCAAAATGTTGATCAAAAACTGCTTTGGAGAGCTTGCATTTCAGCTGTACTAGAATCAATGGATCAGCTGCCCTCTACAAGAAACCAGCATTTTTCAGATTATTTCACATTTCTGTATCAGGGAAAGCATATTGTGATTGTCTGGCGATCGTGTTACACAGGCTGTGCTTGAGTTCCCATTCCTGTCTGCTGAAGCAGTTACCATGGGAACACCCTTTTTTCCCCTAGTATTGAGGGAGCATTGAAGCGTTGTTTTGAAGTATTTGAAATTCAGGTCTTGCACAGTTTAGCATTTAGTTTCTGTTCATCTTTAGGCGTTAAAACGTGTGTTTACTAGCTATTTACTGCACTTAAGTCCTTTATTCTGCTTGAATACTTTATTACTGAATACTTGTTTTATTTTTTATTAACTCATTCATTTAATTTGTTAGTTATATGTATAATTTATTTACATTTATAAATGTTTTTTTCTTTATTATTTGGTTTAAAGTTTAGAGACCACCAAAAAGACTGAAGTTTTAACTTGATGTTGAGATTATATAGCTCACCTTTTTACAGTAATGTATATCATGTTTTATTTGACATGAAGTGTTTCCAGTAGCAACAGTCATGGATCTTTATTTCTCTTTATTACTATTAATTTTAAATTTTATACGTTTTTTTTTTTTTGGAAAAGGAAATTATTTTTATGTTATAATGATCTGGAGTCTATACCAAACATTTGCTATAAATTCACTTTAGAGAACAGATCTTTCTACAAAGTTTCGTCTAAAATCGTGTGCTTAACTGTAATGGCCCTACCTGAGAGAAGAGGGACATCTGGTGGTGTTGTGCTGAAAAAAAAAAGATTTGATCAATTTTCTGTTTTGAACAGTACACTCCAGCTGACTATAACATATTTCAGAAATTGTCAACTGACTTTTAGAATATGACATTAATGCAAGAAATAATAATTACGACTATTTCGGAAATTGTTAAAAATGAATGGATAGTTTTATTCAAACAAATAAATAAGGACATTACATTACTCATCTTTGCATCTATGCAATGAAAAAAAAATGATATTGTTAGAAGGATATTAATAATCGAATAATCATAAATAAAAAAATATTAGCAATACCTATTGCGTAATAAAATAATAGTTTATGAATTATGTAACCATATAATTATCCTTATAAAAATATTATTAACATTTAGACATTATATATGTATGTATATATATATGTGTGTGTGTATATATATATATATATATATATATATATACATATATACACCTTGCTACGTGTACTGTGTTAGGCTAACCGAGACTTGTCATTTGCACTTATATATTGTTGCTCTTTTGTTAGTTTTGACTGCTTTTATTGTCCTCATTTGTAAGTCGCTTTGGATAAAAGCGTCTGCTAAATGACTAAATAAATATGGTATTAATACAAAAAATACAACAAAATAATTTTTTTTTCCCGAAATGGTTAAAATTGTTGGATAAATTTGAAATGTCAAACAAACAAATAAAGACATTATTTTGCAACTGTGTATGAAAATTGCATGAAAGAATAATTAATTATATTATTAGGGATATTTCGTTCATTACATTTAACCTAGCATGATTTTTTTTTAGCATGAATGAATGATTGAATGAGTAATTCACTTCTAAATGAAATAAAATGCATGCATATTCCTAACATGGATGAATGGATTAGATTTGTGTTGGTTTTGTTTAATCCTACACTGGCTCAGCGACATGACGCACAGGACTCCTCGCTGTCTCGCGTCCAGACGCTCGTGACGCCGCAGTGCTGCTCAACGGCTACCGGAGACGCTTTGCTGAAAAATGCTCCCGTTATCCATCAAAGATGACGAGTACAAGCCTGCCAAACTCAACCTGTTGGTCAAGATATCGGGCTGGTTCAGGTAAACACAGTAAAATGCTCAATATTTCATTGAGTTTCACTCACAGCTGTCGATTCTGTGTGGCTAAGGCGGTTAGCATGCTAGTTAGCACGCGAGACTTTATTTCAAATTAAACTTGGGTCTTTAAAACATTTACATTTTAATTTTTTTAAAAGGGGCTATAATTATATGCTAAAATAATTGAACTGATATAATAAAGAAGCAGACTGTTTCAGCTAAATTTTCAGCCAGCCAGATGTTAGCAGGACGAAGTAAACATTTGACACAACCTATAAAATCTTTCATTTTACATTATAAAATGTGTTAAAATATATTTCGCAACAAAATATATCTATCAAGAGATTATTCGGACCACATGTCATTTTTTTCTAGACTGTTTTATTGAAATAAACTACAGTTGTGTATTTGCTTAGCTGTGGGTTCCTACAGCCAGTCTGTCTGGTCAGGCCACTTTATAAATGAATCGGTCTGAAACCACTCTCTCTCTTTGTCTTTATGTCCCTCCCCAGATCAATTCTTGCCGATAAAACCTCTCGCAATCTGTTTTTCTTCCTGTGTTTGAACCTGTCGTTCGCGTTCGTGGAGCTGCTGTATGGCATATGGAGTAACAGGTAACAGTAGGGGGCCAAACGCAAGATTATGCCACGTAGGTCTAAATGTGGGATGAGCTAGTGTGCTTTTGTGTTGGGCCCTAAGTTCTGTTAGCAATGTTTTGATTGGGGTTTTCCCCATGAGCTGTTATCATAGTCTTCCTTGAAGTGAGATTGAGGGCTGATCGAAGTTCAGCAAATACAGGATGTGTCTCAAAACCTATAGAGGTGCCTATCTAGACAGCATATTTCAGGGATGCAAGTGTGTTTGAACGTTCAAACATGCCTCTGATGTCTGAAAATGCATTTTAGATCTTACTTGGATTTGAGAAACAGCTGTAATATTTTATATATAACCCTTGTGGGGAAAATCTGTGTGGCATTAACCATTTGTATGCCATTGTATATTAATTACTATATGTCTTCCCATTTGTACATCAAACATACACTCACTGAGGCTGTAACATTGTTAGTTTAGGCTTAATAAATAGATTTCTATTGTTTATATCCATATCTGACGTTTTTTATCAGGCCGCACACACTGACAGCAGTTTGCATTCACAGAGTGACCAGAAGTTATGTATTTTTAGTTGATGTGATTTTAGGTGACATTGTAGTTATGCATGCAACAGAGTTCAGTATTTCAGCATTATGCAACTCCTTTTAATTAGCAAAACTTTATTTTGTTATTATTGTTGTTGTTTATTATTATAATTTATTTAATGTGCTATCTTTCATTCGATAATATTATGCAAAGAAATGACATCATCCCACGAATGAGAGTGCAGACAGTGAAGCTTTATTATTATTATTATAATCATTATTAAATCAACAATATTACCAGTAGTAATAATATAATAGTATACATTTTTATTTATTTATTTACTTGTTTGTAATACTTTATTTAAAACAATGGTAATATTATGTAAATTGCACAATCCAACAATGATAATTTTTTTATTAATTTATTATTATTATAATAATAATTATTGTTGTTGTTGTTTATAATCATTTGTTTAATACACTTTGCCATTTGATAATATTATGCAAATGACAATCCCACGAATGGGACTGCAGACGGTGAAGCTTGAATTATTATCAGTAGTAGTTTTTAAAAATAATAATAATTATTATATATTTTTTTTTCATTATTATTGTTTATATATGTGTGCGTGTGTGTGTACACAAAATATTTATACAATACATTATATATACAATATATCTGCTTAAAATCATCATTAAATGTAAATGTATTAGTAAAAGAATATAGAGTATTTTTTAAAGGGGTCATATGTTGCTAAAAAGAACATTATTTTGTGTTTTTGGTGTAATGAAATGTGTTTATGCGGTTTAAGGTTCAAAAAACATTATTTTCCACATACTGTACATTATTGTTTCTCCTCTATGCCCCGCCTTTCTGAAACGTGTCGATTTTTACAAAGCTCATCAATCTGAAAAGCGAGGTGTGCTCTGATTGGCCAGCTATACAGTGCGTTGTGATTGGCCGAATACCTCAAGCGTGTGACGGAAATGTTACCCCTTGCCATATTGTGATGCCTTTTCCGGCCGGAGCGACGAGACAAAAACATTAAAACCCATTATAAACGAGGCATTTGTTGCATCCAGTGGGGACATAATTACGGATTATAATGACTTGTACTGTCTTTTTACGCATTGCATTGCATCGCGCCGCGTAAACATAAAACCATGTCTGCATTTGTGATCGGAGAAATGACAAACAACAAGCCCTACTCTACACTGCCCAAAAAACTCGCTTTAAATATA